ATTTACGCAGTTTTTTAATGGTTATATACATGTGCTTCATAATTCTCAAGGTGCCATGAAATTCAAATGCAGTGATGATATCCTAAAATAGAAAGAGCAAGACAATTTTTTTTTTATATAGTTCAAAGGCCTTTAATTTCCCCCCACCTCTTCAACCATGAATTTACAGGGAATGGGATCCAGCAGCTCAGGCTCCTTTGCAGTGGTCCTGATAAAATGCTTCTCTGGGTGGAGTAGGCTGGCACTTTATTGAACCCAAATTCAGCTGAACTTTGGCTTTTTTTCCCTCTGAACCAATTGTTCTCACATTTCAGGAAGCTATCCTGGCTCTTAGAACGCTTAATATGCTCAATATGAACATTAATTCTCTTGGCACAAACCCTGCCCTTATTTACAAGGCCAACTGCATGCTGGGTACATTATAGACGCCTCCAGTTTTGCTATGGCAACATTTGTGGGGCGTTTCTTTTTGAACAGTGCCCATCCCCTTGATGTCCATAATCTTATCTTTCTTGTAGATCTATATGCTGTGCCAAAGGAACAACTCGTTTTGTTTTTTAAAAAAAGATTTATTTAGGGCCTCCCCGGTGGCGCAGCGGTAGAGCGCTGGGTTGCGAAGCTGCCCGCGGCCTCTGCGGCGCCGGTTCGATCCCCGGCTGCTCCCCGGCCACTGCAGGAGGGTCCCACATGGCGCGCAGACCTCTCCTGCCGCCTGCTGCTTCCCTCAGCAGTGTACTTCGGTCCTTCTGCCTGCTCTGCCTCTGGTGAATTCTCTCGCCCTCCCGCGCTTCTGACTGTACCCAGTGCATGTATAAACAAAACAAACAAACAAGCAAACAAATAAATAAAGAAAAACATGCCTCTATTGAAAAAAAAATCTTAAAAAAAATTATTAAAAAAAAAAAAAAGATTTATTTATTTATGCATATAAGAGCTGGGGTACAGGCCAGAGGTGTGGGGTGGGGGCAGCGAGAGGATTCACCAGAGACAGAGCGGGGAACAGAACAGGCAGATAGACCAAAGAACACTGCTGAGGGGAGCAGCAGGGGAGTCAGGAGAGGTCTGCTGCGCCATGTGGGTAGCTCCCTGGCTGGGGATCGAACTCGTGCTGCAGAGGCTGTGGACAGCTTCACAGTCTTGCGCTCAGCCACCAGGGGGGCCCAGCTCCATGTTTTTTAAAAGGCCTAGAGAACATATAGCAAAACCTCTTTTTTTTTTTTTTTTTTTAAGATTTATTTATTTATGCATATAAGAGCTAGGGTACAGGCCAGAGATGCGGGGAGTAAGAGGATTCACCAGAGACAGAGTGGGGAACAGAACAGGCAGACTGACTGAAATACACTGCTGAGGGGAGCAGTGTATTATTTATTTATAAATTATTTATTTCTCCTCTTAGCCTCCTTTCTTCTGCAGCATGTCAGGAGAGGTCTGCTGCACCATGTGGGGCCGAGGCTGCAGATTGCTTCACCAGGGAGGCCCAAAACCTCTTCTGTGTTGATCATTTTAGTGATTTATTGGAAGTTGGCAGTTCTGGCAGAAGACAATTACTCTTCTTGAATCCATGGGTGATATCTATATTACAAGAACTTTCATTGTAAGAGAAGCCTTGCCTATCTGTGAATTTGTATGTACAACTTTATTTTCTCTTTGTATTTTTTTCCCCCAGAGAGATATTGAGGCTACTATTGAGGCTATTATCAAGATCATTGAGGCTACTCTGGAGTTTGTTTTTTTTTTCACTTTCAGATATATTTTTATTTTTTACATCCTTGTTCCTTTTTAAACAATATTTGCTTCCCACCTTCTCCTCCCCCAGGTGTAGTCCCCATAGAATTTCTTTCACCAATGCCACCAGGGAGGCCCCTGCATACTATTTTGACAGGGTAAATAACAACTACTAGGAAGCTAGTTTATAGTCTTATGTATTTTACTTGAAGCACAAAATTATTTAAAAACCAAGTATTTGAGGGGGCATCCCTGGTGCCTCGTGGGTTACATACAGCACTATCAAGCTATTGCTAGCCACTGCAGCATGAGTTTGATATCTAGCTGGCCAGGGAGCTACCCACTGGTGGGCAGACCTCTCCTGTTGGGCCCTGCTGCTCCCCTCAGCAGTGAATTTCAGTCATTTTGCCTGTTCTGCTCCTCACTCTGTCTCTGGTGAATCCTCTCACCCCCCACGCTTCTGGCCTGTACCCCAGTTCTTGCATGCATAAATAAATCTTTAAAAAAAACACAAACCAAGTACGTGAATAAAAGAATGTGTATTTTACCTAGGAAGAGAGATTACAGGCTTTTTTCAGATTTGTAAGGATCCCATGACAATAAAGTTGAAACCACTGTTTTCAAAAGAAATTTTTTCACCCCTCAGTGAACTCAGAAAAATTAAGATTTTTACTTTAATGTCTAACAGAAATGTAGGGGCCCAGAAATACCTTAGCTTTTCACATTGTGCATTCATGCAATTTAACACATCCTGTCTTTAAATCTGTTATCTATCATGTAGGTTATACAAAACATTACACCATGCACCCATTACCTGTGATAGCAATTCCCTTTTCTATACAAGAACTTGCATCACATCTCCCAATCCATCCCTCCTTCAGTTTCACAGTGGAATTCATGCCTCAGTTATTTCTCCTTAGCCTCTTTTCTTCTGCAGCATGTCAGGTAGGCTACTACTGTCTTTATGTCATCATATTTGCTGTTGTCTATACCTAAACATGCTTTTACCTCACATACCTATTAGGCTTCCACCTCATCTCCCCTTCAGATTTTACTCAAATTTCATTTTTCCATGGAATTATTGAAAGATGTAGTACTTAGAGCCTCCCTGATGGTGCAGCGGTTGAGCGCTGGGTTGCAAAGCTGCCCACAGCCTCTGCAGTGCTGGTTTGATCCCTGGCCGACGGGGCGAGAGTCCCACATGGCGCGCAGACCTCTCCTGCCGCCCGCTGCTCCCCTCAGCAGTGTACTATGTCAGTCTGCCTGTTCTGCTCTCTGCTCTGGCTCTGGTGAATTCTCTCATCCTCCCTGCTTCTGACTGTACCCCAGTGCTTGTATAAATAAATAATTCCTTAAAAAAAAAAAAAAAAGATGCAGTACTTAAACTTGTATGCACCTTACACCCCTATTTTTATTCCTTTTCTCTATTAACAGGTAATATCCACATGTTATATTTACTGTCTCCTCAGAAAGGCTATTTATTCTCTTCCAGATTATAGCTGTTTTCACTGTGTTGAGGACATACAACTTCAAGTATTTCTATAGTAAACAGATTAATGTCCTGTTTTGGAATTCCAGGTTTTCTAATAATCTGGCTTAAACAACTGGTTCCTATAGGAACCAAAAAGACACAGCATTGTTCTTTAGATATTTCTTTGTTGGTAAAGAAAAATTTTAAGAACTTTTTTTTTGTTTTGCTTTCCACTTTGAGTTATATTTATCACATACACTCATTATAGAAATGAGTTGACATATGCTTTTATTTAAACATTTTTATAAAAACAAGTTCATACTATACAGCCTGATCTGAAATTGTTTTGTACTTTATAGTAACCATGTAATTGTGATATTTTCCTATAGTTATTTTGCCCATTTTGATTGGATTATTTGGGTTTTTTTTTTTTTTTTTTTTTGAGTTGTGCGAATTCTTTGTAGATCTTGGATATCAGCCCCTTGGTGGAATATAGTATGTAGATATTTTCTCCCATTCAGTAGCATGTTTTTGTTTGTTTGTTTGAGCAGCAGTTTCTTTTAACGTGCAGAAGCTAATTAGCTTGATGTAACCCCACTGTTTATATTCTCTTTTGTTTCTCTTGCCATTACAGATGACTCCACATAGCTATCTCTGATATCTATGTTGTGGGAGTGTTTTGCCTGTTTTCAGTGTATTTTAGGTTTCCAGTCTTATACCCAAGTTTTTTTTTTCAATTTTGAGTTAATTTTTTTGCATGGAGGTCATGAACTAGTTACATTCATTTGCATATAATTGTGCAGTTTTCCCAGCACCCTTTATTGACCATTTCCTTGCTTCAGTGAGGAACTGTTTTTTTTTTTTAAAAAGATTTATTTACTTATGCGTTCAGGCCAGAAGTATGGGGGGTGAGAGGATTCACCAGAGACAGAGTGGGAAACAGAACAGGTAGACTGACCAAAGTACACTGCTGAGGGGAGCAGCGGGCAAGGCAAGAGGGGTCTGCCACGCCACATGGGTAGCTCCCTGCTCAGGGATCCAACTCATGCTGCAGTGGCTGTGGATAGCTTCGTAAGTTGCATCTTAATCCCTTGCGCCACCAGGGAGGCCCTTTAAGAGCTAATTTTAAGTTAGCATTTAAATAAAGATATCTGAGGCATTTCAATCCCACAGATCTATTACACAGCTCACACACAAAAAATTATTTCCACTGCTTTGAGGGAGAGAACAAAAGGAGCTTATTATTGCTATTGCTCCTGATTTCCGCCCCTTTTTTTAAAAAGATTTATTTTATGCATACAGGAACTGGGGTACAAGCCACAGGTGTGGGGGGTGGGGATGAGAGGATTCACCAGAGACAAAGCTGGGAACAGAATAGCCAGACTGAATGAAATACACTGCTGAGGGGAGTAGCAGGTGAGACGGGAGAGGTCTGCTATGCCATGGGGGTTGCTCCCTTCCTGGCTGGGGATAGAACTCGTGCTGCAGTGGCTGAGGATAGCTTCATAGGTTGCGTCCCAACCCCTTGCACTGCCAGGAGGCCCTCCTAATTCCCTTTTTTAAAGGTCAAATGAAATACTCTCCCTACGATATAGTACATGTGTTTCCTACTACAGTGTGGGCTTTTTTAAGACAAACTACATTATTTTTCCTTCAGCATCTTGTGTGGTATTGAATTCTCTCATAATATTTGTACCTTGGTCTACATAAAAGGGGAGGGAAGAAAACCAAGGATTTTTAAAGACTGGAGACAAGGACTACATATTCAGCTATAAGCAGGAAGTACTGGCTCCATAATCATCCCACTGTACCATAATAAAGAGACAATCTCATTTTCAAAGAAATTAACTTTTATTTGAAAGTTAATACTACTTTTCCCCACATGTATCTCCTAAGGACTCATACTATACAATAGCTTGCTTGTCCCAATACCAAAATTTCTAACAGCAAAGTATACAATTGCTCTAGGTAATAAATAATAAAGAGTTATCCTTCACTGATTAAGGGAATACTTAAACTTCAAAAATTCAACACAAAAATCACACTTTAAGTCTGTAGATTTTAACACATGTATTCTAAATACAACATGTTTATAGGAGTCCACAAGCTTTTCATCTCTAAAAAAAAAAAAAAAAAATTACTGAATTTTTAGGGCTCAAAAATTCCATTCTTCAAAATAAATGACCAACTTGTTTTGTTCTATAAGCTTCAAACTTTCTACACTCAACTATTGACTGCTCCATGCCACCCCAAACAAACTTGACATGACTGAACTACTTTATGTGTTACTATCTTCCCCAAGAAAGTTAAAAAAGGAGTTCGTCATAAATGCAATCTCTAATACAACGTCTAATACAATATCTAACACAAAAGAAGCTTTAAAAAAACCATTTCTTTCCTCATCTGATTAGCCAGGAATTAATTTTCTGTAAAAACAAAGAAAAGTCATTTACAAAGCTTAACACTGGGCATTCCTTTTTTTTTTACTTAAGATTTTTCAACTCACAAAATGACAATACATCTTTAAGAGTATAATTAAAGGGGTGAGAAACAGCAATACAATGGACAAAGCGTAGATGTTAAATGAAGTGAAGATTTTTTTTAAGGAATCTTTTCAAAGAAATAGTCAAGATTAGAAGCTTGGGGAAATCCAGAACTAAACACAAAAAGAATGAAAAACAAAATAAAGAGACGATGTCTTCAACTGCAGTCATTCCATTTATCAGTAACGCCCTGAAAGAAAATAAAAATAGTTAAAGACAATTACAGTTTGACTTGCTTAATATTCCCCCAACTATTAGCAGTCCCCATGTGCCCCAATTTTCTAAAAATAAACCATTATTGAGAAATAAGGCTCCTAACACAACAAATGCAAAGGTGTACATACTTGGGCTGTAGGAACGAGATCGTGATCGTGATCTGTAGCGACTATAATAAGGAGAAGGCGATCTTCTTCTGTAAGAAAAAGATGACTCAGTATACAAATGATCCCTCAAACAGAGGCAGGAAAATAAAAACTTCCCATTACTCAAGAAACAACAGGCCCAAGGTAGCTACTTTTAAGTCCTATACGTGCCAATGATGCTAGGACAGTAAGCACATAATCTCTGTTCTGTCTTGAAGACACCACAAGTTTATTTTAAATATTTTTATTAACAGATATCGAATACAAATTACAAGTGCAAAACACTACTATCATCTACTTTAGAATAGAAATCACAAGCTAAAACATTACCTGTACCGATAGTCATAGTCTTCGTATCTGTCATAGCCGCGATCGTATCCTCTGTCATAGTAAGAATCTCGCCGCCTGCCGCCTCCTCCACCACCGCCGCCGCCACCACCACCGCCGCCACCACTACTGTAGACAAATGTACAAATTTTACATCAACGTGAATAATTTTTTTCCAGTATAATTTAACAGAAGTAGGTACCTATGGAGGGCAGAGGGAAGATAAGGGAGAAAGAACAATCCTTTTATGTCAATTACTGCCAAGTCAAATTTTGCTGACTGCCATGATTCTGCTTTGGCTTCCTAGTCATTATATTAAACAATCAGGAATGACATCATCAAACTCCAAACTATAACCTGCTCTTCTATTAATGGATATCTGTTCTCATGACTCATTCAAAAGCAATTAACAAGCATCATTAATTAAAAGTAACCAACCCTGACACTAAAGAGAATTACTACCTTACACTAAGGTCCAGCACTAACAACTTCAATGTCTGGTTGTGAATTTAAAGTTTACCTTTTCTCCTGCTACTTTTCCAATTCCTAATCACAGTGATATTGTTTTTATTTTAGTTTTCTGTAGGTTCTCCTTGCCAAATCCTACATTTCCCCCAGTAAGATTTCAAATTTAATGAAAGCCTAAATGCCTTCTTACACTCTGCCCACACCTCAGTTCTTCTATTATCAATCAATCAAAAAAAAAAAAAAAAAAAAAAAAAGACAGAAGTCCCCATTTATGTACTCCACAATGTGAAAATTGGCTCCCTCCTTCCCTAAACGCTAATTAGCAAGACACTTCCTTACAAATGCTTCTGAGATCACATAAGAGAAAGAATATTCTTAAAAACAGTTAACATTGTCCTAGTTATTAATTTTTCTATTTGTACAGTACCAACAAGAGCCAGCAATGTACTTTGCCAGCTCAAATACATATATACAAAAAAATAAATAAAACGATTCAAACAAGTACAAATTAAATGTTCAATTTGAAGAAAGTTACTGAAAGTTACTATCTTTTGAGTAAATCAATATTTTGCTGTTAGTTTAACTTAAGAAAACTTAATATCTTACTGAGTTGGTCTGCCCATGTAGATGCCTGGTGTTGGTGTGTGTGCTCTCTTGGTAATAGAATAATCCACACGAATTCTTCTACCATCTAGCTCCATTCCATTTGCCCTTTCCATAGCCTTAAAAGGAGAACAGACATAGAAAGTCATGTATAATTCACCAAGGAGAAACTATCGATACCAAAAGTGAAACAAATTTAACCCATTTGAAATTTGAAAATTTAAAATTCTCTGAACAGGGGCTAGGATTTTACATATTAATCCCTAATATTAACGTCAGTAGCACTGAGTTCTATAGTGATACAGAGGTCTGTGCTGAAAGATTGGGAACAGCTAGAGCCACAGAAAAGGAACACATAACTCAGATAAGTCTGCATAACTCTGAGGTTGCAATAACTGGTTTCAGTCTAGGCAATTCAAAACCAAAGTTGCAATTCAGTCAACAGAGAAGCCTAAGCTACCCAAGCCATTCCTTAAGTAACACATCGCCACCTAGTGAATTCCAAAGGTAAAGGAAACCTGGCAGCAAGTGTGCTCATGTATTTATTCTGGACTCTCATTTCAATGTGAGTGCCTATGTCTATTTTCCAACTTCAGCACTATTGACGCTTTGGGACTGCTAATACTATGTTGTGGGTGACTATTCCGTGCATTGTAGGATGCACCATCCCTGATCTCTACGTACTAGATACAATAGCAACTATTTATTTTTGAAAGACACAGCAACTTTTGCAATCACTGCTTATGTTACAATCAAAGAATGCTAACGCACAAAGCAATAATGACCTACATTCATGTTAGCACATGTGAAATTGTACTGATTTTAAGAAGGTAAAGAAAAACAAGTACTTGCCATGTAAAGTTTAAGGTTTTGAGTTTCATATTCCTAAAAACAGAATTATTTCCAACTCATTCATGATAAACTTTAATATACAGAAAGTAAATCTACTGATTCCTTTACACTGCAACACCTAATATACTAGAATAGTGTTATTTCAAATCTCTGACAATGATCAAGACCATTCAGCTGGAATTAAGAATGGCACAAAAATGAGAACGTATCAATTCTTTTCATACTGTTATTTTCAACTGTGGAACAGCATGGTTGATGAGTATTAAGAAAATCGAGATACAAAGTTCTACAGCTATACACACAGGGAACTAACTAGACACTTAAACCATAATTCTAAAAAGTCAATTTAATCATCTGCTAGGAGCATTAATATAGCTTCCTCAGAAGAGAATAGTCACACTGTACTTTTTCCATTAACTCAAAACTTTACATGGTGAGACTTTCATCAGGATATGCCTATAAACAGTTATTAGCTAGAAAGTGAAGCTGGCCATTCCAATTACAACAGTGAGAGGTAGCGTGAAAGTGGACATCTTTAAGGAACTAGGTAGGAGTCTATTAATTAATTTTTAACAATAAACTCAACTTGAGGATTAAGTACATTAGAAGTTGACAACTACAGAAACAAAATTACCTCTTTTGAGTCATCTATCCTCTCAAAATAAACAAAAGCAAATCCTCGAGATCGTCCAGTTCGCTGATCATAAACCACATTGACACCACTCAACGGTCCATATCGAGAAAATACTTCACGAAGATCCCTCTCTGTTGTGTATAAGCTGAGGCCAAACACTCCAAGACAAGTGTTGGGATCTGGATTCGCCTGTTGAATAAAGGTATTATTTATTTATTTATGCATACAAGAGCTTTGTTGTAGGCCGGAGGTGCAGGGGGAGGGAAGGGTAAGAGGATTCACCAGAAATAGAGTGGGGAGCAGAACAGGCAGATTGACTGAAATATACTGCTAAGGGGAGCAGCAGGTGAGACAGGAAAGGTCTGCTGTACCAGGGTTAGCTCCCTGGCCAGGGACCAAACTTGTGCTACAGTGGCTATGTCACAGTGTTGAGACTTAACAGTTTGCACAACCAGGGAAGCCCAATAAAGCTATTATTTAACAGATGTGTCAAGAGTCCAGGTGACTGTCACATATTCAATTTCCATATCTATAACATGGTAATTTGCTTCACGTAGATACTCAAGAGTAGGAAATACAGTGAAGATTCTGGGGCCTCCTTGGTGGAGCAAGGGGTTAAGTCGCAGCACCATGAAGCTATTGGCAGCCACTGCAGCACAGGCACGAGTTCGATCCTCGGCCAGGGAAGTGACATACACAGCGCAGCAGACCTTTCCTGTCTCCCCTGCTGCTCCCCTCAGCAGTGTATTTCAGTACATCTGCCTGTTCTGTTCTCTACTCTGGCGGTACAGGCCGCACCTCTGGCCTGTACCCCAGTTCTTGTAGGCATAAATAAATCTTTTAAAAAAAAATAGCGAAGATTCTGCACAGTGCTCATATAAGTGTTAGCTACTATAATTTTCAGTATTTCTCCTATCGTCTCCCCACTGCATGGTAAAACTTTTTAACATTAACTTAACTCAATTTAGGCTTTTTGTTTTAATTTTTGGAACATATAATTTATTTCCCAAATTCATCTTTTTTTTTAATTATTTATTTATACAAGAACTGGGGTGTTGTCCAGAAAAGAATATAAGTCCAGCTTTAATCCAGTCAAGAGGTGCGGGAGGGTGAGAGAATTCACCAGAGACAGAGCGGGGAGCAGAACAGGCAGATGGACTGAAGACACTGCTGAGGGGAGCAGTGGGCGAGGCAGGAGAGGTCTGCCATGCCATGTAGGTTTCTCCCTGGCCGGCCGGGAATCGAACCCACTCTGCAGAGGCTTCAGACAGCTTCACTGCGCTGCGTTCAACCCTCTGCACCACCGGGGAGGCCCCCAAAGTCATCTTTTAACTACTGAAAGGTCAAGGTAAAAAAAAAAAAATACTTAAATGTATATAAACAATATTCATATACTCAAGAATTTTTTGAAGTATCACTTTCCAACAACTGAATTCTCACCATTTCATAATATCTTAAGATATTATGCCATGATTAAACACATAGGAGAGACAAAGTTTTCATTAACTCACAAAAAAACCACATACGGGGTCTCCCTGGTGGCTTAAGGGTTAAGTCTCTATTACCATGACAGACTGAGTTTGATCCCCAGCCAGGGAGCTAATCCACGCATGATGCAGCAGACCTCTCCTGTCTTGTATGCTGCGCCCCTTAGCAGTATATTTCACTAGATTTGCCTGTTCTGTTCCCCACTGTCTCTGGTGAATCCTCTCACCCTCCGCATTCCTGGCCTACACCCCAGTTCTTCTATGCATAAATAGATAAATCTTTAAAAAACAAACAAAACCCACATACCCTGCTGCCTGTATGTCTTCTCCGGTTAGACATTGGAGAATGACTTCGGCTCCTTCGACGCCGGTATTCTGGTGTGTATGATCTACTTCGAGATCGTCTCCTATGAGAGTGAGAATGGGATCTGGAGCGAGTGTAACGTCTATGAGAATGCCTCCGTGACCTCGACCTTTAAGAGAAATAAATTGAGGTGAAAATACTGAAACCAAAAGGTTAACACTAACACCAAAGACCTAACCACGTATCCTTGAATATTTTCATGAACTTTCTGAGAAAAGGGTATGCGTCCTCTTATTCTCTTAGTCACTACAGATCTCCTTTGTTCTGTCTACCCTCACTCATTCCACTATACAAACATATTAAGGTTATACCAACTTTAAAAAAAAAGGCAAAAAGACAAAACAACTATGATTAGGAAGGGAATGCTATATATAATATTCTACAACATGTATAAATCTTGGCGACATTATGCTAAGGATAGAATGGTAGTTGCCAGGGGCTGGGGCAGGGGATAAAGGAGGGCTTAATTAGTTTCAGTTTTTCAGAAGTTAAAATTATGGGATGGATGGTTCATGATGGTCTGCACAACAATGTGTGCTAAGACCATTGAACTGTACACTTAAAAATGGTGAAGGTAAATTTTATGTTGTGTATTTTACCACAGGGGGAAAAAAACCCACTGACTACAAGAACATCCTGTGATTACCTTCTCAATTTATCAATAGTTTTATATTCCTCTCACTACTAGTATCATTTGCTTTCCAATCTTTCTTTAGCCTCTGCAATCTAGTTTTAGCATCTGTTGGATTTACCAGAAACAGAGTGGGGAGCAGCAGGTGAGACAGGAGAGGTCTGCTGCACCATGTGGGTTAGCTCCCTGGCTGGGGATGGAACTTGTGCTGCAGTGGCTGCTGATAAAGCTTCATAGTGCTGAAATTTAACCCCTTGTGCTACCCAGGAGGCCCCCAAATCCGCCTTTCTTTAAACTCTCTATGGCATCTTATAAAGTACTCTACTTCTTCCCTCCCTGATTACGCTCCAACAGCCCTCTTTCTGTGCCTATTAATCCAACAATTTATTTACTACTCATATGACCCATCCTTAACTGAACTTACCAAGACCTGTGGTGGTGACAAGCCTATAAAATAACCTGTATAAGACATTTAATAAATGCTATAAAAATGAAGGCGCAGAAACTTTAAAAAGACACCAAACATGGGGAAGGGAAATTAATGAGAGAAGGTTATTTGAAACAAAGCTAACAATTTAGTGGGGAGACTTAACAGTTAGATTTTACTAGGTAGACAGGGGAAAAGTGTTCTAGGAACAGCATGAGCAGAATGTTCCATGTCTCTAATGAAGAAATTATAATGACTTACCAAACAATCTAGGTTATTTTTAACCCCCCCCCCCCCCCCCCCGCAAACCAGGACATCTAATACAGTGAACCTTGCAGTAGTGGGTCACTAGAATTTTTTGTTACTCTGAATCACCCAGCAATCTTCACCCATCCATACCCCAATTACAACTGACCAGAGATCCACCCAGGACAAATCAGAGTCTTCAGGTAATGGATGTAATTGGCAGTGAGTACCAACAGTTTCTTAAATCATTATGATAACTAGTAACATACATTAACCTTCCATTAAATTACACAACAAATCTCCAATGGAGGAAATAAAAAAAATCACTTTTTGTTACAAACACTACTGAAATAAAATCAAACACTAATTCTTTTTTTTTTTTTTTTTTTTTTTAATAGAGGCATGCTTTATTTATTTGTTTGCTGGTTTGTTTGTTTGTTTTGTTTATACATGCACTGGGTACAGTCCGAAGTGCGGGAGGGAGGGTGAGAGAATTCACCAGAGCCAGAGCGGGGAGCAGAGCAGGCAGAAGGACCGAAGCACACTGCTGAGGGGAGCAGCGGGCGGCAGGAGAGGTCTGCACGCCATGTGGGATCCTCCTCCGGTGGCCGGGGAGCAGCCGGGGATCGAACCGGCGCCGCAGAGGCCGCGCGCAGCTTCACAACCCAGCGCTCAACCGCTGCGCCACCGGGGAGGCCCCAAACACTAATTCTTAAATGCCAAGCACATTTAAATCAATGGGTAATTTTTAATAGCCAGTATTTGATAGATCAAATGGACCAAGAGATAATTCAAATATGTTAAGTATTTATCTAGAACATATTACTCATCTCTAAACTTCAGTTTGAGAAAAAACTATTTGCTAAAAACCACTTTGCCCTCAAAGATTCAAAAAAGCATTTTATACATTATTTTAAACTCACCTGGATTTTGATCTTGATCGAGAATGGGATTCAGAGTGTTTGGAAACCCTTGATGGACTACGAGATCCTGACCTGCTCTCCGATTTTACACGAGCAGGTGTTCCCGTTGGAGATTTTGACTGAGAGCGAGACTCCTAACAAAGAAGACAGTATTACAAATGGCACTGGTCACGTAGATGCCTAACACCTAACATTTAAAGTACCGTAATTATTTATATTGATTGCTCCTGAAAAACAAATGGTTAGGCAACACCCTCCAGAAAAAATTTCAGCTCATTAATAACCCATTGTTAATACTGCTAACTGTCCTCAATAATTCCCTACTTGAACCAGATCACCAATTCTCTATTAACTAAGTAATCATGCAAATTCATCTACAACTTGATCATACAGACACTGGAACATAAACCATACATTTACTTAACCTAGGACCCATTCATTCTTCCAGATTCTTTTAATTCTACTTCACTCTTGCTTTCTACTTCTCTTCATTCTTCATTGAGTTTTTCATTTTTCATACTTCGTGTATTCTTCCCCAATTCAAACAATTCAAAATAGCCTTAAAAAAAATATTCAAGGGCTTCTATCTGACCAATCTTCTGTTCAATTTTTTCCCCCATTCAATTTTAATTTTCTGATCTTTAATACTTTTCATTAGCCTTCTTTTATCTTGATTTATCTTCCACATTCTTGGAAAAAACTCTTCAATTTCTTCACGAACATTAACCTTAATGGAAAAAGAACATTTAGTATATTTAAGCACGTGGGGATTATAAAACTCTGCTGGAGTTCAGAATGTTATCTACCAAATGGAAAAGCCAGCAGGTAAAAGTGCAAATAACTAGTTTATTAAAAAAAAAAAAAAAAAAAAAACAATTTTATAATCTTTAAAATTGTTCAAAAGTTTAGCTTCTAACAATTAAAATTTACTGAATTTCTCTAAATGCTTTTACCATACTCTTCACCCTCCTCCCCTTTCATGTTTCATCCTAGTTCCTACAATGTGAACAATTTTAATATAAATACTTAATTCAAGCATAAATCTAACATTAACTGTTATTCCCCCCACTTAGGTGGTTGTTTTCACTAATTCAGGTGAAGCTTCTTAGTGATCTTAAAGTAAGCTTTCACTAAGTCACGTGATAACAAGATTTGGCTGAAGCAAAGTACCCTAGGCTAAAGTATTTGTACACACCTATTTAAACTCATACACTCTCAGACACAAAGTAGTTACAAAAAAAAAAAAAAAAAAAAAAAAAAAGAGCAAAATCACTAACATCTCCAATTTTACTTGACCACTATCTCCATTCACTCTGACTTAACCAGAAAGTTACACTCTGATGTCAAACAAGCTTACTGAAAAAAAGGGGAGAAGCAAGAAATTCTTAAATTTTCCCCTTTGGCTTGTAAATTTCTAATACATACTTCTGCAACTCAGTCACTTAAAATTCTGTATTTTCCATGAAGTATCATAATGTACAAGAAGTTACAAAATTAGCATCATGGTTTTTATTTTGGTCCTACCTTTTTGGTTCATAGCTTTGCATATTTCTTTCAGTTATGCAGACTTGTGCGCCCTTCAGTGACTATATCTTATATATCACAAAAGGGACTGGCTTCTCAAAGTGTTGGCTCAATCAAAACTTTCCAAATCAAGTAATTTAAAATTGATTGAATTTTAAAAAAATTTAACAACTTTAACAGGCACTTAGAACTAAAGTAGGATAGACAGTTTGGTTTCTATCCATTTAAACCTTAAAATGTAAATGGTATCCCAATTCAATTCATACCAGTTTTCATTTATGCCATAAGACTATCTTGCAACTTCCTTCAAACTTTTTCTTTACTTTACTTTTAATGTCAAAGACTGATTTATCAAGAACAGTACTAATGCTAAGCCTATTTACTTTGTCAGATGAAAACACCAGCTGAAAATATAGCTACCTTTTGGTTCAGTATCAATTGTTTCTACTTAGCTATCTACACTAAGTCTTTCACAACATCTCAGAAGCTTTCTATATTTCTGGACTATACTTGCAACAGGCACAGTAATTTTGTCTTTATCATTTTATCAAAACTGTAAAAGCAGCATATTCAGTAATTAAGAAAAAAGTATAATTTGCTTATAACTTTAGTCCCACAGCCTGCTTCATTAACTAATAAGCTGTTAAGAATACCTTTGCCTCTCTTTTGGTTTTCCTTTCTATGAAACAAATTCCCTGGTATAACATTTATGTTACTACTGAATAGCAACAGATGGAATAGTCTCTATAAGCATCACAACAGGCCTTATTATATAAATATATGAGCAGGCTTTGTGATCTGTGACACTGTAAAACCTGTATTAAAAAATCCAAAGTTGGGGGCCTTCCTGGTGGCGCAAGGGGTTAAGCACCATACTATGAAGCAACCCACAAACTCCGCAGCATGAGTTTGACCCTGGCCTGCCAGGGAGCAACCCACATGGTGCAGCAGACCTCTCCTGTCTCGCCCGCTGCTCCCCTCAGCAGTGTATTTCAGTCTGTCTGCCCATTCTGTTCCCCACTCTGTCTTTGGTCAATCCTCTCAACCCCCACCCCCCACCTCTGGCCTGTACCCCAGCTCTTGTATGCATAAACAAATCAATCTTTTTAAAAAAAAAAATCCAAAGTTGAGTGTTAAATGTCTACTTGAAACTTTCTAGCCCATGATAAAGATGTTATGGTCAAAACATATGTGTATTTTTAATTTTTAAGTCTTTCTTCATAAACACAGCCATTGCTGAAAATTACTTCTTTTAAGTATTAATGTAAACAAGGTAACTCAGTAACTGTTTTTATAATCCTATAATTTAATGGGACTCAATGGGAAAAATACAATTTTCCGTTTATTAACAAAGGCTTAACATATAAAAGAGATCAACATATTTGTAACAGGCTTGCTTTTTATTATGCAGCATCACAAATTCCTACCCAGCTTTGCACCTATCCTTCAATTTTTAAACCAGGGAAAACCGAAATTTCCATCAGTTCCCTCATGCAATCATTCAAAGTTAAAAAAAGTTCTCTAGTTATAGCTGTCACTATCATTTTAATCTCCAAAACCCAACTTAGAGATTTAGCAACTGTCAGTAAACGTAACCTAAAGAATAAACCACAAAACATAAATTTTTATTTCTTAAGAAATATTTTTACTATAAGAAAAAAAATGGTCTGTCATCTTAAGAACTGGTAATAAGGAGTCTTCATACAGAAGGATGGCTGTATTAATTATCTGCCATTTTAAAGTAAGTAACTTATTTTTCAAAAGCTGGTACCAAATAAATACCATTTTTCACTAACAATGCATTAGAAACAATACCCTTATGGCTATAATACCCTTATGGAAATGTTAGAGTATCCTTTGCTACCCCTTGTCTTCATTATGAAATAATTTCAGTTTCTCTCAAAGACATTCACCAAACTATCTAGAATTTGAAAACTGAATTGAAATTGCAAAAAGAAAAATAAGTTAAACACTGAGAAGGGGTGGTACCTGCTGTTTCACTAGGATACACATAACCTAGTATAAACAGCTCTTAAAGCTGTTTAAATTCCACAAATTTCTCAGCAACCTGGATCCAACAATTAAAAACATACTGCCTAGTTGAAATGGTAGATTAATGATTCAACTAAATCATAGCATGAATTCTGAAAGAAACTTTAGTCTTTCAGCCTACCATACCTATTATAAAACAGAAGCTAGGCCAAAAGTTCTCGGTACAAATTGCTTAAATGGTGTTCTCTTTATTATCAAAGTACCTCTAGTGGTAACTGAAGGAAACAAAAGGAGGGAGCTAGCCATCAATACTAAGTTAACTACATGATAAATCAAGCTAAGGATCAACTTTCTTTTCTGTGTTAAAATACGGCTGTATTTTACATATTGTAAACAATCACAATAACCAGGTATTAGAATTTTAATAAGAAAGGGTTATTAAATACATGTTGCAGAATGAAAAATTCCACAGCAAGCAAAAATTGGCAAGTGTCTTTTAATACTAGTGTCATGATAGATGGAAGGAAAAAATTCCAACATATGTGCTCAGTACTGAAAACCATTAAAATAAACACATAAACCAATATAAATGCTACGCTGTAACCAATCCCAATATTATTGCAAGGCAAATTCTATGCCAAGTTTATGCAAGCTCAAGTTTAAAAGAATATGGTTTAAGTTTTAAAAACAAACCCCTTCAAAATACATTTTCCCACTACTTTATGAAACTGGAGAGTTACTGCCATAGAAGTACACTAGGGCATTTAGGGAAATTATTTAGGAGGGGGGTTGTATTTACTGTTCTGAGAGAACATTATTCTGACTTGTGAGAAACCTTCTGTGTTTACTCATGTTCTTTAAATTCAGTTTACAGAACTATTATTTCTGCTTCCTTCCTTTTGTATGACAAAATGCTTCATTTCAGACTCTTAGAGGTTTATTAAAAAAAAAATACTGTCTTTTCTTAACCCACAACTGCTATTAGAACAATTCTTTAAAAAGATATTAACTATAGGGCCTCCCCGGTGGTGCAGCGGTTGAGCGCTGGGTTGCGAAGCTGCCCGCGGCCTCTGCGACGCCGGTTCGATCCCCGGCTGCTTCCCGGCCACCGGAGGAGGGTCCCGCATGGCGCGCAGACCTCTCCTGCCGCCCGCTGCTCCCCTCAGCAGTGTACTTCGGTCCTTCTGCCTGCTCTGCTCCCTGCTCTGGCTCTGGTGAATTCTCTCACCCTCCCGCGCTTCTGACTGTACCCAGTGCATGTATAAACAAACAAACAAATAAAGAAAGAAAGAAAACATGCCTCTATTAAAAAAAAAAAAAAAAAAAAAGATATTAACTATACTTAAGTGTTAACGTTCCTTCTTTTAAGGTGATTTCTGTATGCTACATTCTGAGTAAGGTTAAAATCATTAGAAGGCTTGCTTTAAAATTACACTCACATATTTCCTAATAATCTATGTCTCTCTCTAAAGTTTGGAGTAACTTTGGGGACACTTAAATAAATTATTTATGAATTGGCACTTATACATGTATAATTAAATTTAAACTCATGTTACAACTGTGAAATTACCTGTTAAATTTACTATCTTTTGTACAAAGGTGGTTCATAAATCTGCCA